TGGAAGCAGTAGGGGCCAACCAAAATTTTTTTTATCAGCTTCACAGGTTCAGAATCACCATCAATTATTTCCAAAGTAGTCGTAGTAATTGTTTGCTATAAAGCATGATCATGCCATACTAATAAGCTATACCATACACCTGATATAAAGACTTGCAAAAGGAAGAAAAACTTCTGAGTGCTGAAGCCATATGAAATGATGATTGAACTGCTTCACTTGAAAGTGTTGAGCTAATGGTTAAATCAAAATGTTATGGGGTAGTCCACTGCAATTTCATGTAGAAGTTTTCTCACCATAAACAATAGCAAATTTAGGGTACAAAAGCACAAGTAGCTTTGTCTCACCATAAAACAATCAACCTGAAGAAGCAATCTAAATGATCCTGTTACAATGAGTACAATATGATGAAAATAATGACAGGATATAAAAATACCCGACAGTTTCTAGGAAGTTCACTGAATACCAATGTTGACACCAGAAAACAGAAAAGCCACATTATGAAGTTAAGAACTCCTACATTTCTATAAGCCAACTTATAAAGTTAAGTTTTTCTACATTTCATTGTAGAATGATCAAACCACAGTAAAGGCAAAATAAATGACAGTGCAATGGAGAGGGAAATTCATGAGAACAAATGCACCAGAATATGAGTTGGCCGAGTTTGGCAGGGCTCACCTCTTCTTGGAACCTCTGCAGCATCAGGCGTTTTTGCTCAAGATCTGCTGAATAAGGATCTAACCCACCCTGTCCAAGAATTGGGGATGCCCAAGTGTTTCCTTTATCTCTTTTCTGCAGTGTAATATGCAATATCTCATCTTCTGCAAAATTCAAATAGCGACAATAATTAATAATGAGAATGCTAATAAAACAAGTGAATCTAAATGGGAGGCCAAACAAGAGGAAAGAAATGTAGTATAATTGCATAATGTGCAATGTTGGAGTGTGCACAAGAAGACAGAGAAAAAGGTTTAAGTATATGGGATTATATAACTGTAGGAGGCTGATTAGGGATGCAAATGAAGCAAGCAGAAAAACCTCACTATTATTGAGGATCACAAAAAAAATTAAAAAAATTGTAAAGAAAGGAGGAGCATATTCAGGTAGTGGACACACAGGCAAAATTTCAAGGGCTATACTGAAAGTTGAGTTGTTTCATTTTCAAGCCCCGTTTGAATAAGCCAAATTGAAACCTCTGTAGTGCCAATTTCATAATTTCTGAACATTTTCTAACATCTACGTATTGCTTAGAATCTCAAAACTATATTGATAAGCAAATTCATCCTATACGACATCAAAAACAATTTATTCAAAAATAATAATAATAGTAGTAGTAGTAATAATAATAATAACAACAACAAACTAAACATGAAATCACATTACCGATAGTCCAAAATGAAGAATCTGTCTTCACTGCAGCAGGGAGATCATGCTGACATTCAAATCAACAAAAAAAAAAAAGGAAAATCATCAAAACAATGAAAAATAAAAGGATAAAAAGTTGAGTAATTATCGACATAAACATTGAGATACGGCGGGTTCCCCTTGATTGCGACTTCAAGATGCTTCGATTGGATTTTAGCGTGGAAGAGGTTCTTGGGGACTTTTGGAGGCAGATCGATGTAGATGTTTACTTCGTCTAGGGTTTGGTCCCACTCGAACACCTTCTGCCCTGCAAATTCCAATAAGAAAAGGAATCAGAGAGAAATTTCAAAACCCTCGAAATCCTAGAATTCGAAAACTTTGGGTTTTTGATCGCTAATGATTACCATTGTGGACGAAATTGTGGCGCTTTTCCGGTGCCAATTTCTCAGCCATTTCGCCGTGGGGAGAAAAATGTCTCTACCAGAAGTTGCTAATTATAAACAACTCAAAGCTTTTACGTATGAGCCCCCTCACATTTCTTAATTGCGGAAAACGTCCTCTGGTCACCTTTCTGGGAAAAGCCCGGGAACAAATCTCTCAATTTCCCCCCCGTGCAAATAGAGAGAGATGCTCCGCTCACCTCTCTACTACCTCAAGCGCCCCAAACCCCTTTTAACCTCGATCAAAGACCCTAAAACCCTAGCAAAAATCCACGCTCTCTTAATCCTCACTGGCTCTCTATCCCATCCCCAATCCCCTGGCCATTTGATTGCATCATATTCTCAATTCGACGACATTGCAACTGCCCGCCTCATGTTTGAAACAGTTTCTCAGCCAAAAGTTTCTACCTATAACGCTCTCATGATAGCCTATTCCCGCCATAATTCCCCTGCCCAGGTCCTCGGCTTGCTACGTCGCGTTAGTTTGTGGCTGATGTAGCGAGACCTGATAGCTCACCTTCACAGTTGCACTCAAGGCTTGTGCCCAATTATCGGACTTGAAGTCCGGTGAGGAGATTCGGACCCATGCGACTAATCTCGGCTATGCCCATGATGTGTTTGTCTGCTCATCATTGATCAATTTGTATGCAAAATGTGGGAGAATGGAGAAAGCGTTGGGTGTATTTGAGGAAATGCCCAATAGAGACTTGGTCGTGTGGACTACTGTGATTACGGGGTTTGTGAGTGTTGGGAAGCCGGCTGAGGCAATTGATGTTTATAGGAAGATGAGGGTGGATGGTTTGGATGGAGATGAGATCGTGATGGTCGGCCTGGCCCAGGCCTGTGCTGGTACAGGAGACACGATGATGGGTCTCTCAGTTCATGGACGTATGATTCGATTAGGAATGAGGATGGGTGTTCTAGTGGAGACTAGTCTCGTTGACATGTATGCTAAGAATGGGCTTTTGGGCCTTGCCCATTTCATCTTTGATAGGATGAAGGGCAAGAATATTGTCACATGGAGCGCTTTGATATCCGGTTATGCCCATATTGGCTTCGCTACTGAGGCTTTGGCCATGTTGGTCGAGATGCAAGATTGCAGGTTCGAACCCGATTGTGTTGCGCTCGTGAGCGCATTGCTAGCATGCTCACAAATCGGGTTCTTGAAGCTAGGGAAGTCGGTGCATGGTTTCATTGTCAGAAGGTGCGACCTTGAAAAGATCTCTGGTACCGCTATAATCGACATGTATTCAAAATGCGGGAGCCCCGCCAGTGCTCGTGCTGTTTTTGACAGGATTAGCTCAAGAGACTTGATATCATGGAATGTGATTATTGCTAGTTATGGTGTTCATGGATGTGGCCGGGAATCCCTCTCGCTCTTCCTTGAGATGAAAGAAACAGGAATTCAGCCCGATGATGCTACATTTGCTTCTCTCTTATCGGCTTTTAGTCACTCTGGGCTTGTGAATGAAGGGAGATACTGGTTTGGCCTCATGGTTAGCGAATTTGGTATTGAGCCTGAGGAAAAGCATTATGCTTGTATGGTTGATCTTTTAGCTCGTGCTGGTCATGTTGATGAAGCCTATGAGCTTATCAAATCCATGGTGATTGAACCTGGGATTGCAGTTTGGGTCGCTCTTTTGTCTGGATGTCATAATCACAAGAAATTTAAGGTCGGGGAGATTGTGGCTGAAAAGATTCTTGAATTAAATCCCAGTGATTTGGGGATTCACGCTTTGATTTCAAATGTTTATGCAGCAGCAAGGAAATGGGACAAAGTAGCAGAAGTAAGACTAGCAATGAGGAATTTGGGGACAAGAAAAGTCCCGGGATGTAGTTCATTAGAAGTGAATGGTAAGTTTCATGGATTTTTGATGGAGGACAAGAACCACCCTGACTATGAAAAGATTATGCAAATGTTAGAGAGACTGAACTGTGAAACGAGGAAATTAGGTTATGTTCCAAGGACAGAGTTTGTGTATCATGACTAGAGGAGGAATTGAAGGAGAGAATGCTTTGCAGTCACAGTGAGAGGTCAGTCATTGCATTTGGGTTGTTGAATACTGCCCCAGGGACAAGGATTCTGATCATAAAGAATCTTAGAGTTTGCGGCAATTGTCGTGATGCAACTAAGTTCATCTCAATGATTACAAACAGGGAGATTGTAGTAAGTGATTAAAAAAGATTCCATCATTTTAGAGATGGATTATGCTTTTGTGGGGATTATTGGTAAATACTTTGGAAATTAATCGAGCTCCTATTGGCGGCATTATTGGTTAGTTGTAATATTTCCCAGACTAAACAAGAGGAGTTTTTTTATGTTCTTCGAGCTCAACTTGAAGATCATATAGTGAGGTAACTGCTTTTTTCTTTCTCTATTGATTCTAGAATGCCTTCTAAATGTAGAAAAGTTTGTTAGTGGATTTTCTGTCTCTAAGTTTTCCTGCCGCAGTCCTCAACTAATTTGGTTTGCTCTTGTAGTAACTGGTCCAAATTGAACGTGTATCTACTCATTACATGAGAAACTGGAATGAAATCCTAAAGTATTGTTTTGTATCATATCCTAAAATAGTTGATTTTCCTTTGACAGTGATACAATCTTTGTTGTCTTATGTAGGCTATTTGCTAATTAAAAGCTTGTTTGCACGGTGTTCCTGGCTAAGGATCAACATCTTCTAACCATGGTACTTGAGACAGATGTTCTCGTTTATCACATTACACAAAGATTAACTGTTTTTGTTTCATTACAAACTCCCTTTGTTAGAATATATTTCTCAGTGAAGGAGTAATATAAAATTGGGTTTTTTCCCCTAGGGAACCACTTTGAAAATAGGTAATTATAACAAAACCACCTTTCAATTTCAATTTGTACATAGACCACCTATAAAGTAGTATTTTGTTGCAATCAACCACCTCAGTCCAATTTCCACTAAAAAAATCAAAAATAAGTTTAAAAAATTCAAGTTCAAGGTACGTGGGTTGTACCATAACAAGACCTAAACACTAAAAGAATGAGCCATGTGCCTTGAATGTGAGATTTTTAACAGTAACTTTGGTTTTTTAGTGAAAAAATTGACTAGGAGCTGGTTGATAGTAACAAAAGCCTACTTTAAAGGTGGTTTATATATACATTGAAAATAAAAGGTAGTTTCCACATAATTACCCTATTTTAAAGGTGGTTTCTAGGAAAAAAAACCCTATAAAATTCTACTATAGTTATTAGTTTACTATAAGAACATTATAAATGTAAAAAGTGAATTTGCTAGATTTTCATGTGTAAACTCAACGAGTCCTAGTCTGATCCAGTACCGTAGTAACCTGAGAAAGGACAAAACAATATATACTTTATTATAATTAGCACTTCTTCGCATTATAACCAATTTCATTGTATTTTGCAGAAAGACGCCAAACTCTGATTATATTACTAATGGCTTGCTACATGAAGTTACTAACAGGCAGAGATGATGTAAAGTTTTCATGGATTTGATGGAGAATTACACGGGATGAAGGAAATAAAAAAGGGCCAAATGAGTTGTCTTGAGGAAACATATATAGAAAAAAAAATTGTGGAGATATTGTCTTGGTACAAAGTGAAATCAACGCAATTTTGTATAGGTAAGGGTTATCCTGCTGGCTGGAGTTCATCCATCTTCTACTTGCTGGACTTTGAAGGCTCATCTAGAAAAGCTTGAAGCAGGCTCTCTCATCAGTTGTATGTTCTCTTATTTACTTTTCTTTCATGCATAAATAGTAAAATACTTTTGTTGTATAGTTCTAGAGGGCTTAATATATGATTTTTGTTGTATCAATTTTCTAATATCAAGCAAGGTATGCTTATTATTGACTTCGACATCGTATTGTTCTTTTTGTTTTATGTCCAAAGAAGAATGAAATATGAAGCAGTTTGTTGTTTGCATATTTTACATAACTCACTTTACTATATAGCAAAGTGTATTGTTTCCTAGGTTGCAAAATCATGGATTTATGCTGCAGACAATCACCAATGTCAGTCTTACTTTGTTGTATATCGAGCACCTAAAGGAAAATAAATACAAAGAATAGAGTAATATATAAGGTAGGAACTAGAAGATCATGCAACAAAAATAGATAATAGGAATGTCAACTCAGTGGCAAAAATTCCCAATTAGTAAATCATTAGCACAAAGTATAGGGAAAAAACATTCCTTTTTCAGGTAGTGGCTACTGAACACAATCATTCTTTATAAGGATTACAATAAACCTGGCTATACGATTATAAAATTGAATGATGTTCTAGTCTACGTGCCCTCCAGAAAACATTTTATGACGATCAAGGTCCGGCGTTGTTTACCATTATCTCGTTAGCAGTAACCACTAACCACTACTGCCTTCATGATTTGAGTAGTGATAATTGTACTACAAAACATAAACTATTTAGCAATTTAGAACTAGTAGCAAGTTTATGAAGATTTTTGTGAGTTGAGGGCACTTGATGTGAACAAACGAATAATTTTGGTATTGTGAAAATTTTCTTTTTCGGGTGGCTAGAACTTCGCTAAGACTTACCGTCCAGATAAAAAGAAAGTTTGATGACTCCTTCTAACCCTTGTTGTTCAAAGTGAACAAAGATCTAGTCTGGGTAGGTACAGAATACTCTTCAGGTATAGATGTATTAGCAAGGAAAGTTGTAGTTATATTGTCTTCTCTATTGAACCATTCTATAATCTGCAGAAGCAACGCCGCCTCTTTTGAGAAAACAAATGTTTCGAAACGATCTTTACTTTGTTAGTGTCCACAGGCATGAAGATTTTCCACCTACAATTCGACAAGTAAGGTGCCTGTCTAAAACCATAAATCAAAGCCCTTTGTTTCAGCTTTACGTATGTTTGGTGGTTTGATGTGAATATAAAAAATTGGAATTCTATAAGTTGTGAGAGTATTTAGATATTCTACTAAAGTACAAAAACCATGAAGAGTGTATGAAGACCTTGTCAGACAATTTGATAGAACGCTTCCTTCTGAAATATCTGAAAGACAATGGTCGCTAATGTGACTCTTAATGGTTTTGATCAAAGAAGGTAGTAGAAATCTAGAGCTAACGCATGATTTAAAGAGTTAATACGAACAGTTGCATGCTAGAAAAGGAAAAATGTTGCGAAAAGAAAGACAACTCAAAGCTTCAAGAGGATTTAAACAGCAGTTTCAGTTGCAATTTCACGTTACAATTTCGAAGATAGCTTTTCTCAAGTTCATGCTAGGTATCTGAATGGTCCTGACTCAAATGATCTTATTCCAGAGTGAGGGAAGTTGAAGGAAACATGCCAAAAGAGACAAACGAACTTATACTCGAACTCTTGTCAGATAATGTGTGTGCCATTTTGTAAAACCCAGATTCCAACTTCGTACAAACAACTTGCAGTACAAATGCAATCAGGATGAAAAATATAAACAAAATCATATGTTGCATCCCTTTCCTACTTATTCCTTAAAAAAAAAAGTAAAAGAAATGAAGGGACAAAGGAAAAGTATATGCTTCAGTAACCGGAGGCAGCCTTAGATGCCGCTTTGACCGCGCTCGTGATCTCGTCCGACTTCATCCCGTTGCTAGTGTAGACAATAAGGGGGCTCTCAGCAGGGACAACATCTTGTTTTTGATAGCTCTCTCTTGTTCTCAGAAACTGCTCGGAGCCTTTCTCAATGATCCCTTTCATGATTATTGTCTTGTGGAAGCCAGAAATCAATTCTTCATGATCCGTGTCTCCCTTTTCTCCCATAATTACGTACATGTTGGCAACATTCAGGCCCCATCGGACAAAAAGGTACCTGTATTTTCCGTGAAAGAAAATAAATTGTTTTCTTTCACAATACTCCTATTCTGTGAACTTAACTATATATAGATATTCTAAAAATATATAAATAAAGAGGTCTTAGTATCTACTGTCTATTACTACTCCTCTATGTAATACTTAAACCTGCATTTGGATTTAATGAATAACCATTACTATAATCTATATGATTTAGAAAATATTAGTTTCTGGCAGGATGTATCTTTTGTTTGATTTCACAGGCAAAAAAGGTCAACTTTCATGATTTTGTTTTGTTTTATCGGCATCATTTCCGTTTGAACCACATATATTTGAGACCGAACGGCTACTTGAAAGTGACCCTAAGTTCTACATTTGTTAAAACGAAAGGAACCTACTGAGCTATTATTTGCAGCAATTGATATTCATAACATATTGTTTGAGACTGAACAGCAATTGATATTCATAACATTTGTTAAAACCTAAGGAATCTATTGAACTATAGTTTTGTTTATAACATTTTGAAGTTTGAATAAGACTTGTTAACGAAGTCTACAAACATCAGATTGATAAAAACAAGGGATTTTCTTACATTTGTTAATTCTAAATTAGACGCCTGACTCTTCATATTGCCAAATTAGACCCACAAATCTCTTTAAACACCTCCAAATCTGTTAAGCTGTTTTAGAAAGACCCTCAAATCTATTAAGCTGTTTTAAGCAAGTCCCCCATTTTGAACAATAACGAAGATTTAGGAATCTGATATAGAAAGATGAAGATTTAATCTAATATAGAACAAAAAAGATGTGGGGGTCTAAATTGACAAAAACCCTATACAAAAGGATGTTTGCATGTATTTCAACACCAAATTTTGACAGATTAGAATATACCTGAGGGCCTGAGATCTGGATGCTAGGAGAGGGATAACCTGCAACCTCGTGGTGGTCCTACAAAACATTACATGGCATCGGAGCCCTCTCATTCTCAACTTTTGCCTTAGATCATCCACAGTTGCTACCTGGAATTCAAGGGGGGAAAAAGATAAAAACTTTGCACAAATTCAAAAATGTAAAATTTCACTTATTTTTTTCACTTAACCCCCTGAACTTTGGGCTGTCTGACCAAGTCGTCTGCGCTTTCAAGTTTTAACAACATACAACCCTGATGTTGTTATCTGTTAATGCATAAATGACCAAAATGACCTTTTTGAAATATAACCCCCAAAATGAGAAGAGGATACACGGTAGTTTTAATAAACTAGAGGGGAATTTTCGACCTTTGCTGTCATGTGCTTGGCATGTGACAGTCAAAAGTTTATGGTGCTACTTTGGGGCGAGACAAGTTTAGGAGGGCTAAGTGGAATAAACAAAGTTGGCGGGGTTAAGTAAAATTTATCCTATTTAAAACCATGTATTCTGTAAGATGCAGTAAACTGATACCTTAGTTGAGTCCTTAATTAGGAAAGATACACAGTGTGCATTGCTTGACTTTGTGTCCTCCTCTACTACACGAGAAGGATTCTTCTTGTCTTCCTGATTGTTTATCAATTTCTCTAAGGTCCTCTTCACCCCATCATGCCCCCACCGATAATCTATATGGGAAGAATAATCTGGGTCTGGGGATAATTTTCCATCATCCTGATAAGTTCCTGGATAGTACACTTCACCTCCACTGCTACATATAAGTGCATCGAAATCTTTGGGTTGTATGTTCCCTGACTTCAGCAACTCCAATGTCTCCGATATCGGCATCGCAGTAGAGAGGGCAAATCCCGAGGTCCTTGCCATTTGTGAGTCAGACTTAACAGCCTTGAATGTTTCCTGTATCACTTGGATCATTGTTTTTGTCGGCTTACCTTTTTTATCATAAGAGTCTACAGCAATCACAAACAGCTTTCTTCTTCTCCTAAGAAGAGGGTATTTAGTAACCACATTTGATGTATTATCTGATTGTTGCTGGCCTTTTTCTTGTTTAGTATCTGCCTTTTGAGTATCTGCCTTCTTGACTTTGTCGACTAACTTCTTCACTTGATCCTGTAGTTGAGGGTCGCCTTTCTCGGCTGCGAATTTCTCGAGCTGGGCAGGCCCATCCATAGAGAGCCGGAGAGAGAGTTCTTGAAAATCCTTGAGAGAGTCTCCGAGTGATGACTCAGAGGTTATGTCATCGGTTGGAGTGTCGGCTTTCCACTGTGGATGCCTTATTCTACAAGCAGCTACTCTTGTGAGATAAGTTCTACAATGCTCTGGCCATGAGAATAGATGTATGTTTCTCCATCCACTCTTTCTACATTCGCTCCACATATTTTTATCTGCGAGTAGTTCGAGGAGGGCATCGGCTATGGCTTTGTGGTCATGTGGGTCCACAAGAAGCCCATTGTTCAAAGCCTACAGGTTTTTAACCCATGAGAAAATTTCAATATAGGGTTAATTGTGGATAGTACCTGTACTACCTGCTGATAGAACCTCTGTAGTTCTGTTGTTGTAGATAGACCCCCTGAGTGTAATGTTTTCACTCTTTTGCCCTCGGAGAAAGATTTTTTTTTTTTTTTTGTGGTTGCCAAATAGACATCCTGAGGGTAAAAGATTTAAAAAAATTCACGCAGGGGGTCTATCAGCAAGAATAGAATTGCAGGGGTCTATCTGCAATTGGGCAATAGTACAGGGGGCTCATCCACAATTAGCCCATGAATTTATACACTGAGAGGATCGTAAAAGGTCCATAATGTGTATGAATGGAGAGTTTACCCGATGAATGTCCACCGGTCCTCCATTTTTGGTAGCTACCATTGGGAGCCCATGCGCGGCAGCCTGCCATAAGTAAGTTGATTATAGTCTCTGTTATACGGTTGTAACTCATAAGAATGGTTAGGTTGAGGAAAATTCTTGAAGATAGAAAAGAAAAAATAAAGTTGCAAAATCAGTATGCATTTGTTCTATTAGACAGGGTTAAAACAGTGATACATGCACATTCTATAAGCCTAGCATGTAAGCTATCTGATTATTTCCTGGACAAGTCTGGAAACATTTATAGCTTTTGTTAGTTAACCATGAGTTGGGATAAATCTAGGAAATGCTAAAAAGAATGGTTAATGCTTAAAAGAATTGAAATAATTGTTTACGGTATTAAAAACCGACCTCAATCAAAGTGAGTCCAAAAGGTTCAACCAGAGCTGGATTTATGAAGACTCCCTGCCAATCTCATGATTAGTATTTCTACAAACTGAGTACACACAATATTAAAACTCAAATAATATTTCTGCAAACCTTGGTTTTTGCTGCGAGCCTATAGATATCAGGAACTTCTGATTGCTTGTGATGCTTAGGGTAGGCCACAAGTCCATAAAGATCATATTTATCGATCATCTTCAGAACTGTAGTAAGTACACTCGCATTACCACCAGACATCTCATCAATATCGTCTCGGTTTCCCATTATTAGAGTCTGAACATACAACACTGCTTTTAAACATTACATTTCATCGCTAATAAGCAACTTAAGCAAGTGGGTGATAACTTCCTTACTAGATTTGCAAGCTCTCTCAATGGACGGCTTTCTCCAAAGGCTTTCAAGAGAGTGGTGATATTCTTCTTAGGATCGGGTCTTGATAAGGCGAGGATCATTGGCTTGTGAGGATTTGCAAGGAATCGCATAACCTATGAAAATGGACAATGGTTATCACTAAAGGAAGCACAAACAAACTTGCATGAATACACTTGTATACATGTGCATATGCATTTTATGGACATACGTCGGAACATATGGTAGGGACTGCCTTAGGAGAACCTTCACCTAGTCCTGATGCCACATCATCATCTGCATCTTCTTGAACTTCAACGCTGCTAAAATCCATGCCTGGAGGAATTACCTGTATTTGTTTACACGAAGAAAGTTAATCCAAAGTAGTTCATTATCCCGCGATGAAGACTGATTTTTGGCACGTAGAATATGATAGATGTTCATAGTGTTCTAGGACGTTATAGAGACAATGTTCTACAATAATAAGCAAGTGTGAATTCACGCATCGTTTGGTACACGAGAATAGAATCATGTGAGAATGGAACGAAGCATATAATGAAATGGAATGAGTGTGCGAAGGGAATGCTCATTTCCATTCTCATGTTTGGATGTATTTAGCTAATGAAGTGAGTGAAAACTCTTTTTTTTTTGGTATGTGTAATTAATAAGCAATCATGTTATATTTGGTATTTATCATAACTTTTTCATTCCCCCTTAAGTGGGATTGCCCATCCCTTACCAACTCATAGAGAATGCCCATTCCCGTTAGAAGTGGGAACGAATGAGAAGTGGGAATGTATATTCTAACTTCAAAAAGATGCCATGTTTGGTATGCATGAATGAGAAGTGCGAATGTGCATTCCATTCCCACTAATTCCCGCGTACTAAACGAGGTCTAATTCTAGTCTTTTTTTAACAAGGCCGATGCCTATAAGTAGGGGATTCCCTCATTTGGCTAGATCATCCTCAAGAATTGTAATTTCCTTTTGAGTGCGATACAGATGTTTTATCTCAATCTCGTTTCCGTTGCTTTCTCTCTCGCATAGCTAACTAGCTTAGCTATTTTTTGAGTATGAGAGTCGAATGAACTTAGTAAGTTGGTGAGTTTGGAAAAGATAAAGTCCGTGACAATATGCTGGCATTTTATAGAACGTGTAACTACTTAGTAGCAAGTTAGACATACCACCATCCTTGGCATATAACGGCCATGGCAGTTAACTCTCCTCCTCGCGCGAGCTCTCAACACCTTCTCAAGCTTGACATCAAACCCATCATACAAACCCCATTGTTCCTCAATCTCCTGCATCGTGCTCGTAATAACAAGTTCAGCGGCATCAAGAGACAACTCCTCAGCTTCTATCCTCCTCATTATCTTGTAGGTACTATTAATATCCTCTTTAGACTGTCGTCCTTGTTTTAGGAGTTGTTCAAGTTTGTTCCTCCCGAGAGAATGGCCTGTGAGAACCATAGGAACATTTAGAGCTCCTGAGAGTAGAGCAGCACAATCTCCAGCATCAGCATAGTGTCCATGGATCACATAAGGCCAAACCGGTTGCCCTCCACTGATTTGCTCTCCCAATACCCTAGACATATTTAGGATGTGGGCTAGTGCACCGTCGACGAATTCTTGAATATGAGGCCAGAGAGCCTCTTTGTTTAGGTACTTGTCTCTTGGACCGCAGGGAATTCGTATGATATAAGCACCTGCGCTCTCTCCACTACTGTTTCCATGTGCATCCTCTGACCCTGATATACAATTGGACTTAGGATCGTAAATTCTCAATCTTTAACCAGAATCTGAAGTCAACTAGAAATATTAAAAAGAATAGATTTACAAAATTAGGGAAGTATTATGAATTTTTGAATAGTTCATGAAACAGTGACCGGAATGTTTATGAAATCTACGAAGCGGAAAATTGGGGAATAAATTCCAGCTTTTTGGGTATATCACTTGTAAACATGCCTGATGTTAGCAAACGTAAATTCTCAATTGGTAAACATAACCCGAAGGATATATCATTGTCAATTAATGAACATATGGGATATTTTATAAGGTTAATTGCAAATAGCCCCCCTATAGTGTCACTGTTTTGAACTTAACACCCCTGTAGTTTCACTGTTGCAGGTAGCCCCCTAGGTGTTTTTTTAAACTATTTACCCTTGGTAAAGTTTTGACCGATTGCATCTGGGTGAAATTAGTGAGTCGGGCCTATGTGCAACAATGAAACTAGAAGGGTAGTAGGTTCAAAACAGTGAAACTATAGTGGTTTACNTGTTTATAACTTTGTAAATTGAAAATTCCTCACAAAAGTGGGAAAATATTATGAATATGTGAATAATTCATGAAACATGATTGGAAAATATTTCTATATCCAAAAGCCGAATAGGAATATTTTGATCATGCCTGAAGTTAACATCTCTGTTGGTTCTCCATAGCTCCAGTCAACATCAGGGCAAGAAATCTGACGGGTGAAAAGGTCTACTCTGTACACTCCTGGCATCATCGCAAGTGCTCGTGAGAGTTCTACAACATATTTCACCTGAAACATTTCTTTCTTGTGTAAGTTTTCTGTTACGAGTCATGGATAATTTGACCATAAATAGACTAAATAAGAATTACCTGACCACCTGTATCAGAGTCACGACCAAGCTCCATGTTATCGCCACGAACTAGACCATGCAAACTGGGTAAATATAAAAAGAACATTAATTAAAGTGTCAAATTAAATTAACCATCACTTAAAGTTTAAAATTGGATTGGAGTATGATGTTTCTACATGTTTCTGAAACATCTGTGACACCAGGACATGGATATGTATGGGTTGTTTGTAATGAGGAACGTATATTTCACATTTATATTTTTCTACATTTATGTTTATGTTTTTGTATAAGATAGAATATTGAAGCATGAAGCCATGATAATTAGGATAAACATCAGGACAATTGATAATTTCTTTGAAAAACAACTTCAAATAGTTTGTTTTTGTTCTCTCACAATTCTTCCAAATAGACTAACTATGAAGAACACAACTAGTTCATCTGATTACAGAACCAAAATGAATAAAAGAGCAAAAGTTTGAAGATAACTGTAAGATATCAAAGGAAGTAGTCGATTTCAACTTATGAATAAAACAAGCAACTGTAAGCTAGACATTTTATGCTAATCATATCATATGTCGCTAATCTCAAATTATTTGTATATGCATGAATAACAACGGCTACACATATTTCTACGAAGCAAATAGAGATATCTTCAAATTCACAAATCACTGTATACTCTCTGGGTTTTGGGCAATTCTCCCGTTTCAGGACAAATTTCACATTGAATGTTACTATAGGTTAATCTGCAATTAAATGTTACTATAGGTTAATCTGCAATTACATTTTTCATACCATTTATCTCAATGCAAGTAAAATTTTCTACAGTGATAGAATTTACCTGATAAGCACAATATAGAGCTTTTTATCTTTGTTATCATCACTCCAAACTTGGAGATTGGAAATATTTCTCTGAAATTTCTTCGCAGGTGTCTCACTCTGAGCCATCTCTCCAACTACGTCACCTTTTTCCTTCTCGCCTTCTGAGAGGTCTTCTGACATGTCATCAGTAGCATCCTTTCTTCCTTGCTCTCTCTCCCATTTTCTCTTCGTAATTCTTTGAAAATCATCATATTCTATCTGCTCGTTGTTTCGAAAGGAAAATAGTATGAAAAATTCAAGCACTAGTTATCTTACAAGTAGAATTACCACGCAAGACAAGTTATTCAATAAATTATGGAACAGGTCCTACATATATTTATATTAATACTGAAAAGTCTATCTGCGAAACAAGCTATAAAAATTCAAGCATGCCTATGCTCTTAGAAAATTAAATATCTTTGGTGAAGAAATTTAGTAAACAGATTTCATGCCATATGCCACTTAAAAAAGGTTTTATTGCTTTGCATTCTTAAGAAAATTAATCCAATAATTATGGACTAATGGTTTTCTTGTACAAATATCTCTACTAGGTAACTCAAATTCAACCATCTTCTATCTAGTTATTACTTTTAGAAATACACTTGTTTTGACAAATGGAGATTTTAACTAGTAATTGTTGATTGCTTCTATGTTATCAAAGACGCACGCCTCATTGCGCCTCATATGCCCTGCAATGTAGGGTGGTAGCAAAGCGCCCACATCTGAGGCAACAACGCCTTTTTGCGCTTTGCAAGTGCACTGCACAAGGGTACTTCGAGCATAGGGCCCAAGCAAGCCATATATGCTCGTACATTTTTGTTCCTTTTAGGCCTACCCCTGTAACTCATATCCCAGAAAGAAAGATCAAAACCCATTCTTGTAGTGTCTATATGATTAATTCATTACTATATATTTAGTTAAATTACGCCCAAAAAATTCCTTTGCTAAAAATAATATAAAGAGTTTCTAATATATTTATGATAAAAATGTATTTCCCCCATTAAACCTATTTCTACAGAGAAATTTACCGAAAATAAGTTAGAAAGTTTTTATTTCTTCTGATAAAAAAGGTCCATTGATTCAAATAAACAAAATTTTATTTTGAAAACTAATCAACATTACAAAAGAATAAAAAAAAAACGCAAACAATTCAAAATGGAACCAAAAAAAAGAAAAAGAACCTAGAAACGCCAACATTTCAAAAATCAACCAACCACACCAAAACATAACTAACTAACGGATATAATCTCATCGGATCTAGACCCGAAACCTGTTTCTTCTTTCGGGCAAGATGCCAAATCCTCCAACACATGTTCTCCATTCTAGTTGTCCTCTCCAGCGAGTTCCGGGTCGCCGACGCCTTGATCCACGTCCGATGAAGATCCGTCTCATCGACTTCGCTAACAACTTCGTCGACGAAGTAACGGGTCGGGTTGAAATGCACCCCTCCCCTCGCATTAACGGGTTTCTGCTCGTCGGCGGCAGCGATTGCGCCGACCGTATCCAATATGCTTCTAGTACCGTTTGATCCATTCGTTGCCCGCCATTGAGAGAGAGCCTGAGAAATTGTTAGAGAGATTAGAGATAATGAGAGTTAATAGGGTTTTTATTTTCTTGTGTGTATTTTTGCATGGGAGTAAATGGAGATGATGACGGTTGTTTGTTTTTCCTTATTTTGCTCCTATTTTGTAGAGGAGTTAGTTACTGAAAAAGTCAGATTTAAAAGGCAACCTTTTTTTCATATAAATATTTCCACGAGGGTGTCAGTCAATTGGTACATTTTCACTCGAATTAAGATAGTTGTTAAAGTGGAATATTTTTTTGCTAGTGTAATATTTTAGTGGGATAATTAGAAACAATTTTGTGAAGCGGGAATTTTGATAAAATAGCATATGGGATAATTTTTGATAATCGTGAAGAATATATTTATGCATTTTGATAATATAAATAAATACCATTTATGTATTTTAAACTTACTATTATTGATTAAATGTTTACTAGAATGCATTTTAAACTTATTATTGTTGATTAGTTGTTTACTAGAATGTTAATTACAATTAAATAACTTTTGATTAGACTATGAGATATTGTCAATTACTATAATATATGTTTTAGCTCTTTAATTTTTTTTAATTATCATTATCTTACAAGTCTAATTTTTTTGGGCATATTTCCCTTCTTTTTTTGCTCCCTGAGATCTATTTCGATCATGTCTTAATTTTATTTTTAAATAAATTATGGATCTACACTTCGTTTACTTTTAATTTAATTATATTATTATAATTTTCGTAGAAAAAGAAAATATAAGAGATGAGAAGATGAGATCTGATTTGACAGCATGGTCTAATGACAGTGATGATCATCGGAGAAAAGATGCAAAGAAAAAAATAAAAAATAAAAAAAATAAAAAATAAAAAAATAAAAAATAAAAAAATAAAATGGAGAGTTCTAGATTTTTTTACCACCTAGTTTCAAACTAAAACTTGGGATAACTAGAGAGACTAGAGCTCTCATTTTTACATAGAAAAAATAAAAAAGTGGGATAATTTTGTACAATTATCCTAGTTCTAGTTTTGTTACAATTCTAATTGATTAACACTTAAAATTTTATTCCAGTTCTATAAAGTTTTATCCTACAAATTATCTTAGCTCTACTTTTGATTTTCTTCGGGGTTGTTGTGGTATTTGCACTTGAAAAGGGTGAGGTGATCTTTTGCACAAAAGACAATGAACTTTAAAATTAAAAGAATGGGCAGAATGACCAAATTCCAGTGTTGGTGAATTATCTACTTTACTCCTAGAGTGTTATAGTTGTTTTTCCACCCTGAACTTTATGTATGCGTCCAATCTGATACTTTAGTGGCTCACAGTCAAATAGTTAGCAGATCAATGATGTAATAGTGATTTTTTACAATTCTTGTATTTTCTGCGATTTGAAAAAAAAATAACTTTACATTTCCAAAAAAGGTAGCAGATCAATGATGTAATAGTGACTTTTTACAATTCTTGTATTTTCTGCGATTTGAAAAAAATAACTTTACATTTCCAAAAAAGGGACAAAAGGATAAAAAGCTTTGGACGAAGCAGCTAGCAGGGGTTGGGGAAAAAGGAGACAACGTGATACAAATTCATGTTCATGAAGAATTGCAAAAAAACAAAAAAAAACAAAATACTGTCCCACGTTGATCTGTTAAATATTTGACCCTCAAAATGACCACATTGGGCATGTGTGCATATATAGTTTTAAGGGGAAAAGAAGCAAGTTCATAATTTTGAGGATCCTCAAAATGACCATATTGGGCATGTGTGCTGTCAAAACAATAATAATATAAAACAAATTAAGGAGTTAGAAAATTCAGGCCTGATTGGGAGCAGTCGTGATATCACTGCCCTAGAAGATTAAGGCCCCGCCTATCGCCCTGGCGTAGTTTGTCCTCTCTCCCCTAGCGGTAAAAACCCCCGGAATCGGCCGGCCTCTGCACTCGGGCGTGAGACACAGAGCTTATGCTCAGATGAAAACGGTTGCCCAGTAAAATGTAGCCGAAATTTCTTGGAGGTAAGAGAGTAGAGAAGAGAAGAGAGTTTAGAAAGTGTTCCTCTTCGTTGGTGTGATTCTGAATGAGCTCCAAGCCTCCTTTTATAGGTGATGAAAGGTGTAACCCCCGCTGAATCCAAGGGACCGTTACGCACGGTTAATGCTTCCGTTACCCGCATGCAGCCGTTACAAAATGTGTAAAACGTGCAAAAATGAAGGCTTGAGAAGCAAAAGTGTGCGGCTGCGGCGTGGCGTGCGGGCGAGGCGCGGCGCGGCGTGGCGTGCGGGCGTCCCAGGAGGTCACCCATCCTAGTACTACTCTCGCCCAAGCACGCTTAACTGCGGAGTTCTGATGGGATCCGGTGCATTAGTGCTGGTATGATCGCACCCGTCCACTCCCCTTCTCCTTCCCCCCTTATACGTCACCCCGCGCGCCTCTCCCGCCCTCCTGGCCCGCTCCCGGCGCCGAACGCAGGGAAACGCGGGCCCGGACCCCTCGCCGTCGCCCCGAACGCCGGGAAACACGGCATTTTGGCCGGACGAGCTTCCGCGCGCCCTCCCCGACCCGCAACTTCCGATGCGGGAGGCGGGGTCGCCCGACGGTCACCCCCTCCCCGAAACCTTGTCCAGAACTCCGCGCAACGAGAAACCCGGCGTGCTTCTCATTCCCAGGCGTCCACGCTGACGGCGGGAATACAACAAAAAAGGAGCCGTCGATCGGAGCAAAACAATAAAAAAAAAAAATTTTCACAAAGGAACTCGTTGCGCGCTGAGCAAAAAGGAGGGGTGCAACACGAGGACTTCCCAGGAGGTCACCCATCCTAGTACTACTCTCGCCCAAGCACGCTTAACTGCGGAGTTCTGATGGGATCCGGTGCATTAGTGCTGGTATGATCGCACCCGTCCACTCCCCTTCTCCTTCCCCCCTTATACGTCACCCCGCGCGCCTCTCCCGCCCTCCTGGCCCGCTCCCGGCGCCGAACGCAGGGAAACGCGGGCCCGGACCCCTCGCCGTCGCCCCGAACGCCGGGAAACACGGCATTTTGGCCGGACGAGCTTCCGCGCGCCCTCCCCGACCCGCAACTTCCGATGCGGGAGGCGGGGTCGCCCGACGGTCACCCCCTCCCCGAAACCTTGTCCAGAACTCCGCGCAACGAGAAACCCGGCGTGCTTCTCATTCCCAGGCGTCCACGCTGACGGCGGGAATACAACAAAAAAGGAGCCGTCGATCGGAGCAAAACAATAAAAAAAAAAAATTTTCACAAAGGAACTCGTTGCGCGCTGAGCAAAAAGGAGGGGTGCAACACGAGGACTTCCCAGGAGGTCACCCATCCTAGTACTACTCTCGCCCAAGCACGCTTAACTGCGGAGTTCTGATGGGATCCGGTGCATTAGTGCTGGTATGATCGCACCCGTCCACTCCCCTTCTCCTTCCCCCCTTATACGTCACCCCGCGCGCCTCTCCCGCCCTCCTGGCCCGCTCCCGGCGCCGAACGCAGGGAAACGCGGGCCCGGACCCCTCGCCGTCGCCCCGAACGCCGGGAAACACGGCATTTTGGCCGGACGAGCTTCCGCGCGCCCTCCCCGACCCGCAACTTCCGATGCGGGAGGCGGGGTCGCCCGACGGTCACCCCCTCCCCGAAACCTTGTCCAGAACTCCGCGCAACGAGAAACCCGGCGTGCTTCTCATTCCCAGGCGTCCACGCTGACGGCGGGAATACAACAAAAAAGGAGCCGTCGATCGGAGCAAAACAATAAAAAAAAAAAATTTTCACAAAGGAACTCGTTGCGCGCTGAGCAAAAAGGAGGGGTGCAACACGAGGACTTCCCAGGAGGTCACCCATCCTAGTACTACTCTCGCCCAAGCACGCTTAACTGCGGAGTTCTGATGGGATCCGGTGCATTAGTGCTGGTATGATCGCACCCGTCCACTCCCCTTCTCCTTCCCCCCTTATACGTCACCCCGCGCGCCTCTCCCGCCCTCCTGGCCCGCTCCCGGCGCCGAACGCAGGGAAACGCGGGCCCGGACCCCTCGCCGTCGCCCCGAACGCCGGGAAACACGGCATTTTGGCCGGACGAGCTTCCGCGCGCCCTCCCCGACCCGCAACTTCCGATGCGGGAGGCGGGGTCGCCCGACGGTCACCCCCTCCCCGAAACCTTGTCCAGAACTCCGCGCAACGAGAAACCCGGCGTGCTTCTCATTCCCAGGCGTCCACGCTGACGGCGGGAATACAACAAAAAAGGAGCCGTCGATCGGAGCAAAACAATAAAAAAAAAAAATTTTCACAAAGGAACTCGTTGCGCGCTGAGCAAAAAGGAGGGGTGCAACACGAGGACTTCCCAGGAGGTCACCCATCCTAGTACTACTCTCGCCCAAGCACGCTTAACTGCGGAGTTCTGATGGGATCCGGTGCATTAGTGCTGGTATGATCGCACCCGTCCACTCCCCTTCTCCTTCCCCCCTTATACGTCACCCCGCGCGCCTCTCCCGCCCTCCTGGCCCGCTCCCGGCGCCGAACGCAGGGAAACGCGGGCCCGGACCCCTCGCCGTCGCCCCGAACGCCGGGAAACACGGCATTTTGGCCGGACGAGCTTCCGCGCGCCCTCCCCGACCCGCAACTTCCGATGCGGGAGGCGGGGTCGCCCGACGGTCACCCCCTCCCCGAAACCTTGTCCAGAACTCCGCGCAACGAGAAACCCGGCGTGCTTCTCATTCCCAGGCGTCCACGCTGACGGCGGGAATACAACAAAAAAGGAGCCGTCGATCGGAGCAAAACAATAAAAAAAAAAAATTTTCACAAAGGAACTCGTTGCGCGCTGAGCAAAAAGGAGGGGTGCAACACGAGGACTTCCCAGGAGGTCACCCATCCTAGTACTACTCTCGCCCAAGCACGCTTAACTGCGGAGTTCTGATGGGATCCGGTGCATTAGTGCTGGTATGATCGCACCCGTCCACTCCCCTTCTCCTTCCCCCCTTATACGTCACCCCGCGCGCCTCTCCCGCCCTCCTGGCCCGCTCCCGGCGCCGAACGCAGGGAAACGCGGGCCCGGACCCCTCGCCGTCGCCCCGAACGCCGGGAAACACGGCATTTTGGCCGGACGAGCTTCCGCGCGCCCTCCCCGACCCGCAACTTCCG